CCTCAGCCCATCCAGGGCTCCAACCCAGGGCTCGTGTGTAGCATCCAAGGTTGTCAGATTCTGCTCATGGTGCATCTGTCAACCTGCACCTGGCCCTTGTTGAGCCCAAGTGCACTATAGGGCACAGGGACCAGCCGAGGGCGTCAGGTGCAGTGGGAGCATCTCATTAGTGGGGGCCAAGGTGGGACTGATGTTACTCAGGGCTCCCTGCCCACAGCCAAGCACGTGGCTGGGAAGGCTGGCCTCTGGTGCCCCTGGGAGATGCACCAGCAGAAGGGCAGGGGCAGGGCTGCCCCTGGTCTCCCCGAGGCTGGCACAGCTCCCAGAGCTGAAGACCCCGGCAGTGCCAGGGTGGGCGCAGCAGAGTCATCCACATAAAGGGCAAACCAAGAAGAAATAGGGATGGGGAGCCAGCATCAACATCCCCCAAATAACAGAGGGGAGAGGGGCCACCCTCCACCCATGAACTTCTTCTAGAAGAAAAGGAGGCCACCTCCATCCCCACTACCCACACTTGGATCGAGAATGATGGGGCCTTGCTCTGACCAACAGAATGTGTCACAGTTAGGCTGAGGCTCCTGGGGTGAGAATCCTGCACCTTCTGCTTCTGCTCCCCTGACTCCCCCAGAGAAGCTCAGCCAAGGAGGCTGTTGTGCCACTGAAGAAAAGGCCACTTGGAGCACAGAGGTGGCCCACCCAAGAGCCAGGGAGAGAGAGGCCATCCAGGTCCTTCTGACCCCACAACCATCCGCCTGAACGCAGCCAGTGGGGGATACACCAGTCGGGGCTCTGGAAAGTCGCACACCATCACTAAGAGCGGCTAGGTCCTGGGTGCTTTGTGAGACAGATATTGAGACGAGAGGGGCCAGGATGGCCCACGTCCCCGCCACCTCCATGCACTTCTCCCAAACACCACAGCCTTGTGCTCGACAGCTGACGGTGGCACAGTCTCCACTGAGAGCTGCACCCATTTGGCGTGGAGCCAGTTCAGTGGGTCACACCACCAGTGGCAGGGCATGCAGCCAGCTCTGTTACAGAACAGAGTAGAACAGACACAGGATAAGGCAGGACGATGGGACAGGACAGGAGGGGAGGGGATGGGGTAGGATTGGGATGGGGTGGGATGAGGTGGGGAGGGGATGGGATGGGATGGGGTGGGGTGGGTGGGATGGCGTGGGGTGGGATTGGGATGGGGGATGGGATGGGGGTGGGGGATGGGACGGGGTGGGGGGATGGGATGGGATGGGGGGATGGGATGGAGGGGGGATGGGTTAGGAGAGATGAATAGAGCAGGATGGAACAGATACAGAATAAACATAAGGCAGACACACGGTAGAAAAGAATAAACAGAATAGGTTAAAATAAAACATGGAGCAGGACAGACCAGACCAGAAAATACCTGACAGCATCACCGGGAAAGGCTGAGAGTTGTGTTGCGACACCTGTTTGCAGAGAGACGCATGAAGTGTGTCCTGGGCAGTGGTGCCACACCTGGGTCACCGTCACCATGGGAACAGGGTCACTCCGTCCGTCCACAGCAGCCAGGTGTCCTGCCTCCCTCCCCATCGAGATTAGCCTGAGGAGTCCCCAGGGGAGCCCCTCCCCATGATGGCACGACCCCAGGTGATTCCACGCTCTGCCTGTCACCAGCTTGGGATGCCACATGCCGTGGGCCAGCAACCTGCTCAAGCAGGCGGGTGCCCGAGCCCTCCCCAGCCTGAGCGTCCTGCCAGCCCCTCACCCGCGCCCGCCGGGCAGCCAGCAGGACGCCGCTCTGCGATGGGCCATCCAGTCACACACCCTGGCCTACACCTTCCCTCCTCGTCCGGGGGGGCCCATGAAGGCCCCACTCCCTCTGCAGCACCCCCTCCCCATGGACCCAAAGTCATCCTGCGTTTGCCTGTGGGGGACCCGCAGGGGGCAGTGTCCTGGACTCAGGACCTCAAGACCCAGGAGCCCTGCGGCCCCAGGGGCCCAAGGCAGGTACCGCCCATCACCCCCAGCAGAGGTGCGAGAGGTCTGGGTCGATCCTCTCAGGGTCCGGTGAGAAGAGGAGGAGCAGCAGGGGTGGGGGGGAGGCGGGCAGGGCATTCGCCTCCTGGGCCACCCTGAGCTCCCAGGACGGCCTCCAGGGGAGCCGTGGTCTCAGGCCGTTTCCACAGACCCTGTACCAGGCGGCCTCCCCTGCCCGCATCCACTGGGCACCGTGAAGGTGGCAGAGCCCCACAGGGTGGGCAGCCACCACCTCCACCGCAGAGACCAAACGTGTCTCCTGGATGGCTGCTCTAGGGGCAGGGCCCGGAATGCTGGGAAAATACGAGACATTCACAAAGCACTTCCCGTTTGTCCCTCCCAGAGGCTTCTGTGGCTCTGAGAAACCCAGGGGCAGACCTGACGGGCCCTCAAGGAGTGCCGGACCAGGAGGCTGGGAGCCAAGCCACGTCCACGGCCACATGTGGGCAGGACATGACCCTCCTCCCATCCCACCCCTGCCCAGGACCGGCCCCGGAGGCCAGGACAGACAACCCATCGGGGCACCAGCCACAGAGGTCAGGATGGCCACATCACAGAGCCACACAGTCCTATCTAGACACGGTGCCTTCTGTAAGGTGTGGGCCTGCCTGACCCTGAGGATGGCAAGAGCTCCCCTAGGGGACATCTTCCAGCTGGTTCATTCCTTGGTCCGTGAGTGGACTGGGAAACTGTGAGGGCCACCGTCCCCAGCCCCACGGGCCCCACAACACGCCCCATCCCCCAGCAGGAGGCCATACCTGGAGGGGACACCTCATCTCAGCTGGCGGCCAGCTCAGGGGACACCCACCCAATGCTCAGTGATGGCTGCAGACAGGCCAGTACACAGACCATGTGGGGACAGACCGTCGGGCCCCTGGACAGCTTTTGGGCACAAGCCAAGCTTTTCCCAAGAGCACTGTGACTTCTGACAGAGCGAACCACACCTGACCACACATGGGGGCAGCAGCCTGGCTGCCCAGCCCCCGCTCTAAACATGGTGAGGAGGTGCTGCACCCTCCCTCCAGGCCTCTGCTGACCCTCTCCATCCAGCCCATTCGCGGCCACAGTCGGACACCAGCAGACCATTCCCAGATCCCCCTGCACTGTCCTCCCCCCAGAACTGGCCCCAAGACCTGAGCCACAGCCTCCCATGGGGTCACACACACCTGGAGTCACACACACCCCTGGGGTCACACAGCCTCCCGTGGGGTCACACACCCCTGGGGTCACACAGCCTCCACAGGATCACCCCCCACACAGGCTCACACAGCACCCCCAGGGTCACAGAGCCTCCCACCGCATCACCCCCATGGGGTCACACCCCCACACCCCATAGGCAGGACTGGGAGCTCGACACTCCAGGGGATGTTCAGTCCCCAGAAACAGAGCTGGGCCTCAAACCAGAAACACAGGTTTTCAGGAGACCCAAGGGGCTCTCTCAGCCCCTCAAGGCAGGACTTGGAAGATCTGGGCATTAGACAGTGGGAGACTCTACCACCTGAGGCCTGGGGCCCCACTGGGGATGCCACCCAAGTCACGGGTGGCCTCAAAGAGGAGGGTCTGTGCCTTAATCCATCACAGCCCAGGGATTCCACCAGCTCCCTAGTGGGGAGGGAGGGGAGGGAGGGGCGGGGGGGAGGGGAGGGTCTCTGCTCCAGGCGGCTCCTCCCACCACCAGGGCCACAGCGCACTTGCTCCGCCAAGTCTGCCCAGGGTTGTCCCCTCCCTGTGCCCAGGGCCATGGGCACCTGCGCAGGCAAGCCTGCCCAGGACTGTCCCTCTGTTCCCAGGGCCATGGGCACCTGCCCAGGCAAGCCTGCCCAGGACTGTCCCTCTGTTCCCAGGGCCATGGCTCAGTGTGCCTCCTGGCCTAAGAAAAAGGAGCCCCTCAACATTTGCACAATCCCAGGGATAGTGAGTGAGTGCATCCAAGTGACCCCGGGAGCCCTCCTCCCACGGCTTTGAGCTGAGCCGGGGAGCCTGGGACCCTCAGCGCAGCCGCTGCCCCAAACCCGGGCCAGAATGGCCACCTGGGACCACAACATATCGTCAGGCTGTGCCACCGGGCGTCCTGTCCCTGGGGCTCCCCCTGGGGCCCCTGGCCTTCCCTGTGCACCTGAGGCCGGTGGGACTGGGGCGGGGCCTCCAGCTGATAGAGTGCCTCCCCCCACTCCGTGCCTCCTCCTCAGTGTGGGGGTGCCATCCACCTCCATGGAGAGGGGGACATGTGGCCCTTCCCTGCCTACACTGGTCCCTGGGGACCTGCTGTCCTCTCCCAAGGGAGGGAGTCGTGTCTTCAAAGAGGTTGGTCATGCCCACACCTGGGGCCCGCGGGGAGAGCACTGGTGTCTCCCAAAGCACATGGGATGAGACAGAGAACAAAAATGCAAAGCATTTCCAGACACACCCATCTCCCCTCCAAACTAAACTATGTCCAAAAACCCAACTCCCTGTTTACACAGGGAGAAACACCCTTATTACCCAAAGCCGGCAGGGCCGGGTACCTGGACCTGCGGGGCACTCGCTCTGCGGCGGACCCTCTAGTGAGCACCCTAAAACGCACGCGGATATCTGGTCCTGGAGTGTCAGGGGCTCAGGCTGGGAACTCCCCCAAATGCCAGAAAACTCCTGCCAACACAGGCTGCCCGTGGAAGGGGTCGAGGACAAAGCCAGGAGGTCCCGGGCCCCCAGCAGTCGCCCACCAGGCCTGAACTCCAGACACCAAACTGTCAGCCCTTGGCCCTGAGCCCCACAACCCGTCAGAGGCCAGGAGCAGCGCTGGGCCCGGGGAAGACAGGGAGGGGTCACCCACTGTCTGAAATGAAGAGTGAGTTCAGGGTAGTTATTTTTGAGAAGCAGCCCCAAATCGAGTGACTTCCTTTGAAAGACAAACACAGAACAGCTCGTTTCTGCCGGGTCCCCAGAATATTCAGGGATTAAAGACTGTGCTTTGTGTCTCTGTGCTGACCCAGCGCCCCCCACCTTACCTCTGCGTGCCACCTGGTGGGGACAGCATGCTGCCTGGGGTCCACATAACGGCGGTGGGCAGGTGGCGGTCAGGGTGGATGGAGGCGAGCCCTCAGCCCCTGGGCACAGGCACCGGGCGGGGCAATGTGCGTGCAGAGTATGAACTTAACTCCCACGGGAGCTGACCAGCTCAGGTGCGAGGCCACACCCTCGGAGTTGGGAGAGCTTAAGCTTCAGTTCTCAGGAAGAACCGGACCTTCCCTGGGGCCCAGCCGGTGCAGGAGTCCAGCGCTCCCTCCGAGGGCCTCCCTGCCTGGCACGCCCCACAGGGCTCCCACCTGCTCACCAGGCCCCACGCCTAGGGGTTCGTCAGCCCAGGGTCCTCAGGGAACTGTAGGCACCTTGAAGGGCCTCTGGATAAGGATATTCATGCATGAGGTGAAGGCTGAGGGTCAGTCGATCTCTCTGAGGATGGACCTGGGAAACATGGGATCAAATTCAAGACCTGTTCTCCTTCTATTCCTTCAAAGCTTGCTTTATACTAGGAGGAAGTTTAACTAGTTTTTACGTCTTGGGATGGAAAACAAGTTTAGAAAAGGGACCCTGGAATGCAAGACAGGATACTCGGGTTTACTGCATGCAAGCTCGGTTCTTTATGCAGCAAGTAAATAAATATGCTTGGAAGACAGGCAGGCAGGGGACATCTGCAGCGCTCAACTGAGTGTTAAGTTCGAGGGCAAAGTCCCACAACAGCCACCAAGGGGCACTCTGTGGCTCACCTGCCAGCGAATGAGGGGCCGGGCACCACCGCCGGCCCGTGGGCCACCTTCCCACACGGCCCCCTCCCTGTGCCCGACCCCCAGGCACAATCTGGGGACTGAGTCCTGGTCCTCAGATTGGTCCCTGATGGCCAGCGGCCTCCCTGCCCTGGCTGGCGGCTGACATAGCGGGTGCAACAGAAATCGGTGGGTGGGCAGGGGCCTGGAGGAAGAGAGGGGTGCTGTGGGCGGGGCCAGGCTCGGGGCACTCCCAAGCCCTCTGGTGCCTGCAGGAGCTTCTCCCCACCATGCTCACCACGTCACACAGGAGCTCAGAGGGTCTGCAGCCGGTGGGGGACGGATGAAGCCACGGTGGGGCACCAAGTATGTCATTTCCACGAGGGGGGAAGGTGGAAAGAAAAACAGGCGGGCCCTGCCAGGGAAGGCAGAAGAAACACACAGACAACAGTAACCCTCCACTTCCGACCTGCAGATGTGTGACAAACGCCCCTGAGACTCATGCTCAGCCCTGTGCTCAGGCTCACGGGCCCGAGGGGCTGGGGCTCTGCCCACCCTGCTGCTTCAGGTGGGAGCCTGTCCTGGGCCCGAGCACCCACCAAGACAGCTCTCTTCCGGAGGACCACGGGGAGGCCAAGGGCACACCTCACGCCCCCGCCCCCACCACTGCAACCCAGCCCCTCACATCTCACTGACCAGCGGAGCCATGTGGCCAAGCCCAAGGTCAAGGGGAAGGGCGTGGGGCCACCACGAAACCACGGCCCACGGAGGGAGTGAGAGTGATCAGTGGGAAATCTTGTGACCCCCCGGTGGCCTCAGGGAGGGCCCCAGGCCCTGGACACTCCTCCTTCAGCCCCCTCCTCACACCAGGGAGCACAGGGAATGGTTTGCTCTGGTCACCGAGCCCAGTCCAGAGATGCCCGGTCATCCCCCAGTGCAGGGTCTCCTCTGCTTCCCTGGGGTGACCCCTCCCCGGCCCGGATGCAGGGGCCTGCCCGATAATCCAGGAAGAGCCGTGCTGGGGCCAGTAAACCAGGGCAAACAGCCATCACTGCATTCCTCCAAGTGGGCAGGGCCCCAGGCCCCTGTCTGGGGAAGGAAACCTTCCGACTACCTGAGGGCAGCTCTCTGTCTGTCCACTTACAGATGGGGGGGCCACCCCAGTGCGAGCACAGGGCCAGGGCTCTCCAGCACAGGGGAGGGGGCGCTAAAGGCCACTCATGGGGACATCTCAGTGCCCAGACCACACTTCCCCACCCGCTGGGGCCCTCGGGCTCTGTTGTTGTTGCAAATATTTACCTTCCTCCTGATCAACTGCTTCCGTAACCTCACCCTCACCCAGCGCCCTGGAGGGACAGTGGCCCCTCACAGGCCAGATTCTCTGACACTTGGTGATGAGGCCACCATGCCAAGCCCCATGAGAAGCACCAGTTGCGTCCTGTGTGACCAGAGAAACCACAAAGCTGCCAGCCCTAAAGGCCTGGCCCAGCCGGGGCCAGGGCAGTGACTGGGGCTGGGCTCAAGGCAGCAGGGCCCGGGGGCACCGGATGCAGGGGTGATGCAGCTGGGGGCACCTGGTGTCTGAAGCCATGAGCCCAGGAGGGCCCCGCCAGGTGAAGGGCGAGGCCTGGCCACCGGGGCTGGGAGGCCGAAGAGGGGGGAGCAGCCACAGACTCGAAAGGAGCGGGAAGAGAATGAAGGATGGGGGGCTGGCTGTGGGGGGCAGCTGAGCTGTGGACAAGGGTGAGGACTGACCACATGGTGGGGAGGGTGAGGCAAAACCAACTCCTCTGAGCTGCTGGGGTCAGCGGGGCTCCGGGAGAGGAGACACCCTCGAGAGCACACAGACAAGGCCACCTGGGGACACGAGACAGCAGGGGACAGCAGGGGGCAGGTAGGGGACAGCAGGGGGCAGGCAGGGGACAGGCAGGGGACAGCAAGGGGCAGCAGGGGACAGGCAGGGGACAGCAGGGGGCAGGGAGGGGACACAAGGCAGCAGGGGACAGCAGGGGGCACGGGGCAGCAGGGGACAGCAGGGGGCAGGCAGGGGACACAAGGAAGCAGGGGACAGCCTGGTCCCCCAGCTGCGTCAGGAGGCTGTGAACTCTGGAGAGCCAGCCAGCTGACCCTGGACCACGATACCTTTCTTTGACCCTCCTAGGCCTGGAGGTCAGGTAGACCAGGGGCCTCGGGCAGCCTACACACTAGAGACCCCGATCCAGCCCCATGGAGGCCCCCATGTGGGGCAGGTGACCCCACAGGCAGGACTGGGGACAGCCAGTCTCAGAGTGGGGGCCTGCGATGCACCCCCCAGGCCCAGCGTCCATTCTGAGGAGAGCCCTGGGCAGAGGAGCACCGTGTCACCCACCGTAGGCTGTCCCGGAAGACGCCCAGAGGGCCCCCATAGATGCTCAGGCTGGCGTGGCTGGCACCAGAGGTCCTTGGCTAGGTGGCATGGCTCACTGCCCGTCCAGCTCCCAGTGGGGCCCCAGACACCCCACTGTGTCCCTTCCCCGCTTTCCTGTGACTGTAACCCAAGGTCAGGACCCCAGGGCAGCTAGTGGACAGCTCCTCACCTCACATCCTACGGCTCCGCACCCCTCCCTCCGGGTGGGTCATGGGGGCCACCCCGCTCCACCTCTAATGGCCTTTCCACCCAGCCACCCAAACCTTGAACGTTGTCACTCGATGTCCGGGAGTCACGTCCCCCATCCCTGCACTTACTGATGGTCAGGCCCGGGGCACCACACCCAGCCCCCTGGATTGAGGCAGGCAGAGTGGGCTGAGGTGGGAGGCTCGGGGCCCTTCGCTGAACCCCTCAGTTCAGACTAGGGCTGGGGGAGCAGAACAGACAGAGCAGGGTGACTCTGGGGCATTGGGGACCCTGCCCCAGGGATGGGGGAAAGTACCATCTGTGATGCACGTGTCCTGGCCGGAGCCCCCAGAGAGTAGGGTCTGCAGCTCCCGCTCACTCACCGAGAGGAAGGGAAGGCTGGGGGAGGATCCGGGCCCCACACTCAGAGGGCCCCCTACCCTGCCCTGTGGCCCTGCTCCATGCCAGGGACCATCGTGCAGGCTCCGCTCGCACGTGCTCTGGGAACTCTGGGGGAGAAGGACGGACCACACCCTCTTTGCTGGCCCAGACAGGGGTTTCGGGCACCCAGACAGGACCTCGGCCTGCTGACCAGCCGCCTGCCAGTGTCCACGGAGCGGGTCCTCCAGGCCTGAGTCAGGAGCGTCTCCAGGCCCAGGAGCAGGGGTACCGCTACCCAAGCACCCCCCACCCCCAGTTCTCTGCTTCTGAGGCCAAGGGCGAGCGGGAGTCTCAAGCAGCCAGGACAAACAGCTCCCAGCCCTGCTGCCTGCCCACCTCAGACCCGTCTACAACCTGTCTCCCTGCTGGCCCGGGGCCCACAGCCACAGAACCCGGAAGGCGGCTCTGGGCACCACACTCTGCCCAGAAACGAAGGGAGATGATCTGACTGGGCCATGGTCCCATGGAACACCTATTTGCACAGCCATGGACCAGAGCCAGCAGGAAGAGGAGCCAGGAGACAGATCTACCCAGGAAGTTCCTTCCTCATGCACCCCTGCACAGGAGCTATTGTGGAAACTTCTCCATGACTCTGGCTGTCCCCACAGGGCACGGGGCAGGACAAGCCCAGCGCGCCCTGGAGTCCTCACCTGAGGGCCACTGTGAGCGCAAGCCTGCGGGGGGTCCAGATGGCTTCTCCTCACCGCCCCGGGGACAGCCTGTGTCCCCACCTCTCCCGTGTCCTTTAGGGCCTGCAGGACAAGACCCAGCCCGGTCTCCCCAGAACCCTGAGGTCCAAAGGACCTCAAAATCCAGGATGGCGAGGGCTCGGCAGGAGCAGGCTGGTGAGGCCGGCAGAGCAGATCACTGGTCCCTCTGGGGGCTGGGCCTCGGACTGTGTCCAGCGTGAGGCTGTCCCAGTCAGTGGGGTTGAGGTCAGAGGTCAGGCACAGTGTGCTACAGCCCATCACCTCTTCCTTTCCACAGATGCCCAGGGACCCCCGGGGCCACACGACCCCCAAACTCCTCATCCGAGCCCTCAGGGTCCACAGGAAGCCAGCCCTCTCCGAGGCCTCTGCTCCCTGCAGGCCTGGGGAAGTTTGTCCCAACCATGTCCCTGGGGTTGAAGGGTGGGCAGCCCCCTGGCTCCGCGCCATTGGCGAGTCAGCTCCCTGGGCAGAGACCCCCAGGCCCACTCCCCACCCCCCACGCCCAACAGCTCAAGCCCTCGGCTCTGGGACTCCTCCTTGCCCCTCCCTGGGGCCCCTCCAACCAGGGGCCTTGATGGCCATCAGCCGTGAGCAGTGAGGGGCCCTGGCCCCTACTGTATGACCTCTTCTCTCGTTGCACCAGCTTAGAGGTTTTAAGAGAAAATCATAAGCTTCTCCTGATCCAAATACAAAGGCCCCCTCGCCACCCCCGGGAGATTGTCCTCGGCAGGAGCCCCCCTTAACGGCTGCGTCCCAGGAGCCCCGCGTCCCCTCTGCACACAGGCTTTGTGCTGCCGACACTCCGACAGCCCGGCTTCCTGCCTCTTTCCACATAACGTTTGGTGTGACCATGTGGCCGCGAGGGGCAGGGCGGCGTGGAATCCACCGTGCCCCGCTGTGCGCCCTACCAGGCTTCACCATGGCTGTGGCCGCCAGAGAGCTTGCTCCCCGCAGGCGTGAGGGCACGCGGCCGGCCGCCCTGGGGCCCGGGGTCCTGTCCAGACAGCACAGGTCTTTGTCACTCGCAGACGCATGTCGTCCACCCAGACGGGATAGGGCTCAGTCACGTCCCTGCTGGGTGTGTGAGGATTCAGGACTGGGGGAGCACCAGCAAGTGCCCCTGTCCCGCGTCCCGCTTTGCAGGCTGTTGTGTTCCGTGGACTCTGAGACCGCACTGACCTGAAGACAGAACAGAGGAAAGCTGGAGGGCGTCCAAGACACGCCCCAGCCCCTACTGGGGGACGATGGAGAGGTGAAGGGCACGTGCGCCCGTACCTGCCGCTCTGAGCTCCCGGAGCCGGTGCCTGGTGGCCAGCGGGGCACCAGGCCCCATGCTCGTCACGCCCCCGTCTCTGGGGTCACACAGGCAGGGAACACCTAGCAGGAGCCCCTCTCCTGCAGCCGTCCCTGCCACCTCCTCCACCCAGGCTGCCCAACAAGGCAGCCCCCACCTCCAACCCAGAAACTGGGAGAAAAATGCCAACTGCAAACCTGGCTGCAGAGGGTCCAAGGCTGAGCACCAGGGTCCAGCTGCCGACCCTAGAAGGATGGGGCAGAGCAAGGTCAGCTCTGTCACGCTGTCAAGCACCCATGAGATCTGTCCTGTGCCGTGGAAGCCTCAGTTGCCCGCAGGAACCCAGCCAGGGGCATGGGACGGTGGCCATGGCCACAGGGCCAGAGCTGGCTCTTGGAGTCAGCAAGGCAGGAGGGGTAACCCAACAGCTGGAGTGGCCCACGGCACCAGGCCCGGTAAAGCTCCAGAACCCGGTGGAAGGGATCCCTCAGTTTAAATCGTAGCAGACGGGGCACCAGGGGGGCTCAGTTGGTTAGGTGTCTGACATCTGGTTTCAGCTGAGCTCATGGTCTCACGGTCCATGGGGTCAAGCCCCACACTGGGCTCCACACTGATAGTGGGGAGCCTGCCTAGAATTCTCTCCCTTCCTCTCTGCCTCTCCCCTGCTTTCTCAAAAATAAACTTAAGTCGGGGCGCCTGGGGGGCTCAGTTGGTTAGATGTCCGACTTTGGCTCAGGTCATGATCTCAAGGTCCATGGGTTTGAGCCCTGCGTCGGGCTCTGTGCTGACAGCTTGGAGCCTGGAGATGCTTCAGATTCTGTGTCTTCCTCTCTCTCTGCCCTCCCCTGCTCATGCTCTGTCTCTCTCTGTCTCGAAAATAAACATTAAAAAAATTTTTTTTAAACCCAAAAACTTAAGTTAAAAAAAAATAAACCAATTAATTCTGGCAGAGAGCAGGAGGGAGCAGCTGGGACAGAGAGGAGGGACAGAGAGAGCAGCTGTTGGTGCCAGTGCATGTGTGCCCACATGTATGCATGTGCCGTGTGCACCGCGTGTGCCTATGTGTACTGTGTGCACCCACACGTACTTGTGTGCACTGCATGAGCCCACGTGTGTGCTGTATGTACGTGCACTGCACATGTGCCGTGTGCACTGTTTGTGTGTACTGTATGTGTGCACCCACACGTACTTGTGTGCACTGCATGTGCCCACATGTGCTGTATGTATGTGCATATGTACGCATGTGCTGTGTGCACCACGTGTGCCTGTATGTACTGTATGTATGCACTCACATGTACTTGTGTGCATTGCATGTGCCCACATGTGTGCTGTATGTACTGTATATGTATGCATGTGCTGTGTGCACCGCGTGTGCCTATGTGCTGTGTGTGTCCACATGTATGCATGTGTCATGTGCACCGCATGTGCAGGGGCCTTGTGTTCTGTGTGCATGCGTGTGCACCTACATGTATGGATACTGTGTGCACCGCGTGTGCGGGGGCCTGTGTGTGGACTGTGGATTGTGTATGAGTGAACCATGGGGCCAAAGGCACACCACTTCACGTGCTGACATCAGGGGGCCAGCTTGTCCTCCAGGGAGAGGGAGGTTCCTCCAGCCACCTGCTCCCTATGATCCAATCACTGGCCACCTTCTCAAAACTCCCCCCCCCCCGCCCACGCTAGCAGAAAACACCTAAAATCTTAAGCCTTTTCATATTTCATGCATTATTTTAACTCTCCACAGTGAACCTGGTTAGTCACGCGACCATCTCTGAAAGTCATTTCGGAGCCACAAAGCCCTCACTGTATGTCACTAATGTGAACCAATTACACCTGACAACTTAGGACACCTATGTGAGACCAAGCCCATGGGCCAAGGAGATGGGGTTTCACGTCACTCAGAGGGGACGGGATGAGGGATGAGGACGGGGAAGGGGTCGGGCCTGGGATCACTCTGGGGTCGGCCCCCAGTGTTCCAGCGCTTAGGGAACAGGGCACACACAGGCACCTCACCAGCCTTTATGATATTACTGTACAGTAACAGAAGCAAGGAGCGTGTCGTGATTAATTCCCATTTTTACTGGAAGTTCACAACGGCCAGGAAGTGAAAACACATCCAACCTTCAGACTCCACAGCCCCCGGAGGCCCCAGGGCGACAGGAAGTAGCAGGCCAGGGTGATGGAAGCAATGTGCACAGAGCCTACGCCCTCGTGCACGCCCAGGTCGCACTGATCTTTGATGCGAAGAGCAGACCATCTTTCTGGACACGACACAGCAAACCACTGAGATGAAAAACTAACAACTAACCTCTGACAATGGTCTTGCCAATGCACAGACCTTCTAGAAAATGGGGGAATGATGCCTTCCAGGGTAGAGACCATTCCTGTCACTCTGGTTAAAAGGTGACCCCGTGACTGGGGACGGACCCCACACTATCCCACGGAGCTCATCACCTCTGCTGGGGGCTCACGCCCCACGGGGGACAGGACCACCCACATCCTCTCCCACGGCTGCAGCCGGTCTCCTGAGTGGGCAGAACTGCTTGCCCAACGGCCTGCCCAGCACGTGCGGCAGGAGCCTACCCCCCGGAACCTGCAGGGAGCTGGAGGGCGGGTAGGGAGCCAGGAGGGGTTCTGCCTGAGGGCCGGTGGCTGGGCCACAGTGCCTGCCGCTGCTCTGCTGGACGGAGGCCCCCCGGGCCAGCCCTGTACGCCCACCGTGACAGCAAAACCAGGACAGGACCACGGCCCCTCCCCCATCTCCCACTGGGCCCATCAGGCCTGGGAGGGCAGCGTCTTGTAGGGGTTCAGGATGCCCTTGGGGTCCAGGAGCGCCTTGAGCTGCTGCATGAGCCGCAAGGCCTCGGGCGGCTTGCTGTAGCCAAGGACGTCCCTCTTCTTGAAGCCCAGGCCGTGTTCGGCGCTGACGCTGCCCCGCTGCCCGGCTGTCCACTCGTACACGTAGGGCTCCAGGGCGCCCAGCAGCGACGGGCTGAAGGCCTCTGATGTGACATTGAGGTGCAGGTTACCGTCCCCTGCAAGGAAGGGACACCAGGTCAGGCCAGGCAGCTGAGACCACTGCCCCAGGAACCCCCAGTCCTGCCCCCACCCTCATGCCCACGTCCTGCCCTGCAGGATGGAAGCGGCTGTCTCCCGGGAGGTCTCTCCCAGCCCTCCCCTCTGTCCTCACGGCCCCTGCTGAGGGCTCCCAGCTAAGAGTGACCAACCACCCGGCCAGCCGGTGAGAGCGCCTGTGGCTGCCTCCAGACCCACTTCTCCATGGTGCCCAGGCCAGCCCCACCCTCAGACACGTCCTTGTGCCCAGCCCACACCCACCGCAAAGCCCTGGCTCCTGGCCCCCACTCCAGACATCTAGCCGCGCCCTGGCTCTACCCCTGCCCACACGCAGCCCCCTCGGGTCCCAGAACAACGGCAAGCCACAGGATTAACGGGGGCAGGAGGCCCGGGCCAGGACACGGGCTGCAGTCTGGCCCAAGAGGAGCCCGGTGCGCCCACGTCCATGGGGCTGAGGCGAGAAAAGGAACAACTCAGGGCAGCCACCACCACCCAGAGGCGGGGGGGAGGCAGAAGCAGGTGCAGGTGCGCAGACAGGAGGCCCCTGTCCCTACTCGGAGGTCAGGGAGGTGGGGAGGGCCGAGCGGACAGAGTGTGGGGCCCAGGGAGGGTTGCCGCCCACGCTGAGACGCAGTGTCCGCCAGCAGGAGGGGCTCCTGGAGGCTGGAACCACAAGCCTCAGAGAAACGGGGCCCAGGGGCAGACCTGGGGCCTCTGACCGGTGACCTAGCGCTTCTCACGCCCCACATCCCTCCCTCCAGGTCTGTCTGAGGTAGGGAGCAGGTACCCCCCACCGACACACTCAGGGCAAATGCGCCAGAGCCCCCACCCGGGAGCCTGACCAGGAAAGCCGGTCCTCGCCGACTGCCTGAGTGCATGTGGCCACCGGCCAGTAGGGCAGGGGCTTAGAGCCAGAAGTCACCACCTTAGTGCTCCCACGGACCCTGAGCTAAGAACGTGAAGATGAGAGAGGTTCCAGCTGGGGGACCCCGGTCCCCCCCCAACTTCTACCCACACAAGGAAGTCACCTCCAACCCAGGCCTCGCATAATTCCCACCCACAGCAAAAATGACCTGCGCACAAGGACAGCAGCCACCATGAGCAGAAGCCGGCAGAGTCTAAGGCCTGGGCTTCCAACCCTGTAACTTCCAGAAACTGAGCACAAGCGTGTCCTACATTATGCAAGTAAGAGACAAAGAACATAAAACACCAACTAGGCAAAGTTCTTAAATATCGAAGTCAATTTTCTAGAAACAGAAACTACAAATCATCGAAACCTAAGAGTCAGTGAACAGGTTTCAAGGCATGTTACTCACAGCAAGAGATTAATGAGGAACATAAATCAAACGCAGGAGCTCAGAGCCAGGGCAGCAGGAGGGACATGGGGCCTCAGGCTGCAGCTCCTGGGAGATGGGGGGACACAGGGGTCAGATTTGGAGGGAGGAGGGCGGCGCAATGTCTAAAGCAGAGCCCGACAGATCACAGGCAGGACGTGCCAACGCACCCAGACAGACCAGAGACCCCAGAGCACCCCAAAGACCAAGGGGAAGAGGAAACAGCAGACTCCCTGTGGGGAGGTGGGCAGCACTCTCATGGGGAGCTGACTCTGCAGCAACATGCGAGGCCGCAGCCGGCGGGGCGCCCTCACCCCGGAGCCGGCACGGAGCTGCCAGCAGACGCGGGAGCACAAACCCATGGGAAGAGACCTTAACAAGAACGTACGTTGTCCGGCAGAAACCACCTGTGACGGGGCGCCTGGGTGGCTTAGTCGGCTAAGCTTCCGACTTTCGCTTGGGTCATGATCTCGCGGTTCGTGGGTTCGAGCCCCGCGTCGGGCTCTGTGCTGACTGCCAGCTCAGAGCCTGGAGCCTGTTTCAGTCTGTGACTCCCTCTCTCTCTGACCCTCCCCTGCTCACGCTGTCTCTCTCTCTCTCCT